TGTAGGTCCGTACCCAGGATGTGAACCCCAGGCCACTGAAGCAGAGCATGCAAACTTAACCACTATGCCATAGGGCCAGCCCCAAAGTTGTTTTAACTGCAGCTGCTGCTTAAGGAGCTTAAGAGAATGAGCCACATACTATATTGGTTCCACCCCTAAAGTATATTTCCTCATTTCTGACCTAGATTCCTACCATACCTGACCGTCTAAGGTTTCTCCCTCCAATCTCCTCTTTCTTTTAATTCATTTTCCATTCTGCCTGCAGAATTTCTTTCTAAAACATGGTCCTGATCATGTCATTGCCCTGCTCAAGAGCATTTGATGGTTTCCTGTTTCATTCAGGTCAGAGACCACCTCCAGAAAGTAGCTTGCTTAATCTTGGCAAGTCTTTGCAGCCTCACTGCCATGCTGACCGTGCCCATGTTTTACACTGTTGCCACCCCAGACTAGTTTCAGTCACCCTCACAGAGCAGGCCTTTTCATGCCACCAAGCTGTTGATTATGCCAGTCCCTCTACTGGCGGGCTCTACCTGACTGCTATCCCATTCTTTAAGAATCACCTCAAATGTGCTTTGTTTTGTGAAGCGGTCTCTGTCACTCTTTGAACCACAAACCACAAACAATCCCTTTTATGGCTGAAATTTGTTCATTCCTCTGATAAAGTGCCAATCTTATAGTGTTTCATCTTGTTTGTTCTTTTTCCCACTAGACTGTGAGCTCCTTGAAAGCAAGGATCATGTCTTATTCACCTTTAGATCCCAATGGTGCATTCATTAATGTATCCAATTAACACACATACCTATTCGGTGCCTGCTACATAGGAGTCACCGTGCTGGGCATTGGGTATCAATTAGGAGTGATTATCCAAAGACTAGATATACATAGGTGAACAAAGCAATAATAAATAAGGGTCCCAGCACTTGCCAGTCTTCGCCAGTGCAGTATTAAGAACAAGGTAGTTGTTAACACTAACAATCTGGTAATCTAGAGGCTGATCCTTTCACTTTGCTGCCATTTTCAACTTCTTTGACCCCATAGGAAAACTTCCTGTGGAGTCCAGACAAACTGAACCCTGGGAAAGTTAGATGCTTCTTTTGAGTCACTCAAGAGGAGGAAACCTTCAGCTAGAGCTGGAACCTGAAGTCTTGGGAGAAAGGGCCTGATGAGGAGTGCTGAGCACAAGCCCTGAGGGCCCTCCTGTTAGCCAGCAGAAGGAGAGCAGGCCTGGTGTCCCTAGGGGATAAGAGCAGGAACCCTGGTCTGTTGAGTACTTATTAGGTACGAACCATGTTGGTCTAGGGGGCTGATGGAGTTGCTTTGATGCCTCCTATTTCAGGAGGAGACCAGGCTGATGAGGAGTGGCAGCTAAAAACAGCACCCAAGATTTTTAGGGCAGTGAAAGTATTCTGTACGATACTATAAAGGTGGATACATGACATTATGCATTTGGTAAAACCCATAGAACTATATGATGCAAAGAGTTGAACCCTAATGTAAACTATGGACTTAGGTGATAATTAATAATACATAATAATAAAATAAAATGAACAAATTTTAAAAAATAATATAATAATCAATTGTAACAAATACCACACCAATGTAAGATGTTAATAATAGGGGAAACTGAGAAGTTAGGGGAGAGGGAATATTTAGGGACTCTGTACTTTCTCCTCAATTTTTCTATATACCTAAAACTACTTTATAATTTTATTTATTTATTTCTCCCCCCTAAGCCCCAGTAGATAGTTGTATGTCATAGTTGCACACCCTTCTAGTTGCTGTATGTGGGACGCGGCCTCAGCATGGCCGGAGAAGCGGTGCGTCGGTGCGCGCCTGGGATCCGAACCCGGGCCGCCAGCAGCGGAGCGCATGTACTTAACCGCTAAGCCACGGGGCCGGCCCTAAAACTACTTTAAAAAAGAAACTCTATTAGTTAAAAAAAAAAAAACCAAAAACCCAGCACCCAAGAGGTGACAGCTGCTGGGATTGAGGAACAGGTGGAAGACGAGGACAGGAGCACAGGTAGGAAGTCTGACTGGGGGGACCTGCCTTTGTCTTCATCCCTCTGTCATTCCTCTCCTCAATCCTGGAGACAGACTCACTTTCCCTCCCCCCTACCATATTTATGCATTCAGTCTCTCTCCCCTGTCATTCCCAAGGCACCAGAGTTGGAAATTCAAGGAATTTCAATGAAATAGCATTTTCATATTGAGGATGATGCTGATGCTGACTGACAAACTGCAGGTGGAGATGGCCTTGGTTTTGGATAGCGAACTCAAGTCAGAAATGGGAGAATCTGACAGGATCCAAAAACATCCCTGAGCTGTACAGGAGCAGAAGAGTCTTGAAGTTTCCCATGGATTTAGGGTCCAGGAATTTCAGGCAACAGTGTTGGATGCCTCTACATCCAGTTCTTCCTTCTCCCAATTTTAGGCGTGTGTCCCAGCAGCTCCCTGAAGACTTACTCCTCTTTTAGAAATCGCTTTTCTTCTGATTTCTTCTTGCTTGTTAGGGGCTCGTCCTAGGACTGAAAGGACTAAGATAGGAGGAGTGACCTGGGACCCCTTCACTGGCCTGTTCCCTTTGGCTGTCTGCCAGAGGTGAGTTATAGCACCAGAGAGTCACCTTTACGGCACAATGATGTGTGGACTTTTGTACCAGTTTTAGGAGGCACCATATGCCATTGTTCTCTATTTTCCAGGCTACAGTTTCTCATCTAGACCCCTAGAAGAGAAATGAATCCCAATTCCTATAGTTTTGATATAGGCTTAGAAAGAGGTACTATCATGGTAATGAATGTGTTTAATTGGGGTGTTGCATTGGAATCAAGAAGGTAAAAACTGAAAATTTGCTCTGATTTGATCTGAATTGCCAGTAGGTTCTATTTTCCCATTTTTCTACCTGTTAAGTCCACAGAATAAGAACTATTTTGGGGTCTCCTACCTTTGGTGTCCCTGTCTTTCACCTCCCTGCTTCCCCAGAAGACACAGAGGAATTTTTCCTGATCTAAGTTTAGGTCTAGAGAAATCCTTAGGGTGACAGGGTTATGGGACAGGAAAAGCCGTAGCCTCAAAGGGAGAGGACCTGTTTGTCAGCATGAGGCAAAGGTGAGGAGGACAAAGCCTGAGCCAGGAACAGGTGGATAAATATTTGTGAATGTTATGTCCTTCACTGTTTTCAGAGGGGTCAACTTTTTTGGCTGGGGTAAAGAGAAGGTGAAATCTAGAAAGCCGTCATTCAGATGAGGGAAGCACCGAGGCAAAGGACGTGTTTTGACCATCTCGTTCCTCTGGCTTGTTTCTTTCTGGAGCAGGTGAGGCTCGCCCACAGCCTGTACAGGTGGGAGTGAAGTATGCCCAGGGTAACTGAAGTTTCCAAGGGCTACGACACTTCCTAGCTCTGACCAGTCTTGGTGTGTCTTCATCCCAAGCCTTTCCCCATTTCCAAGCTGAGCACTGCTTCTTTCCAGCAGGGCTGTTCCTGCTGACCCACCATGAGCCAGCCTGTGCTGCTCCTTTGCTGCGTCTTCTTGTCCCTGGTGGCTGCCTGTCCAAGTAATGCCCAGAAAGGGGGTCTGACCTTCCAGCCATCTTTCACAGAAACTAGGCATCCTCTGGACATGCTCTCCAATAAGATCCCTCTCCCAGATCCCAAGACCTGCCAGGATCTCTTGCACACAGCCCCCTCTTTAGCCCCTCTGCCTGAGTACCTGTCCAACTTAGCTCTGGAGGTGGCCCTGGAGGAGGCTGGCTGCCCAACTGAGGTCCACATTCTGCAGCTTCAGCTTGTTAGGATGGGAGGAAAGGACACCACTGAAACTCTCACCTGTGAGAGTAAAAAGCACAATGAGGAAGAAGGCATCTGCAATACTAAGGTCATTCTGAGGGATCTGGGAGGACTCGCAGGTAAGCTTGGATAAATCCAGCACTCAGCTACTCACCCTGAGGAATGTATTGATGGTGGTAAATACACTACCGGGGTGGCTGGTCTACCAGTTAGCGCAGATGGTGATTGACTTTGCTGAGAAGCCATCTCCCAGGGCGCTGGTGATACAAGTCAAAGCTTTTGCTCTCAAGTTAAGAGCTTCTCAGTGTCTATGGATGATGACAATATAATTTATCAAACGTCCCACAGTTATTTTAAAGTGCTTTATGAAAAATTGATTCAGGAATTTGTCCAGGTTTACTTCAGATATCAGTGCCACCTAGGCAACAAGTCTCCTTTCCCAGGACTGTGTTCAAGGATGGGACACAATAAGTAGTTAGAAATATTGGAGACCACTTAGGACAGATGTATGCTCCTTATTTCATCCTAGTGCTAAAACCCACATGTGACTGGTGTTAGCCTTGCCCTTCTCATTTAGTAGCTCTCAGTCCCTATTCATTCTTCTATTTTCTCTTTTTTCTATTTTTTTTCAGTTATCATATACTGTGCATATAATATGTACTAAGCATTTAACCTTTTTCTCATTCATCTACCCGTACTAAACCACCAACTAGATGCTGTAGCTTGTTAATATTTTTAAACTGAAAAGACAAATAAAATAAGAGAGAATCATAGACATCTAATCTCTACTGATTCTGGTTCTCCTGGCTCCTATCATGAGCTAGAGTGGGAATGTGGCAGGGACCTGTAAGAAATGCCAGAGAACAGGGACTTAGGTATTGAGGTCGAATGTGTGACAAGGGGACAAGGTTTGAGCAGCCAGTACAAATGGACAAATATTTGCAGAGATTATTTGCAGATGAAATAAATGCACAGATCATTTCATCTATGATCTCTTACTGATCATAGATGAAAGCAAATAACTCTTTTCTTCATGGGACAGAGAAGTAGGCAGAACAGGATCAAGGAGCTACGAAATCTATCAAGGCAGTCTCATTTCTCAATGACTGGACTGTGCGGGAATTTGGGGCCCCCTATGAATGAGTGGAAATAAAGCAGAGGAAGTCTCTGATGACCTGAAGATGGAGGAGGACAAGTGGGAACAATTGGGTTGCATTTCCTGTTTCTTAGGTCTTTATCTAAAAATAAGAGAAGCTTGGAGGTGATGGATGGGGTGTGCCCTGGGTCCTGGGCTCCTTTCAGACCACAGCCCTTAGGGAAACGGATTGTATGTTTCTGGTTTCTCCCCTCTCCAGAGCGCTTTGTTCCAGACATGCGTGGCCTCAGACTCATCATGATACCAGCTGAACTGCTGCTCCTTTGCTACCTCCTGCTACGCCCTGCCGATGCCGCTTCATATGGAAACCAAACAAATGTCCTGATGCACCTTCCATCGTCCTCGGAATCCTGGCTACCTTCCTCAGACCCCTTGTCCTGCCAGACCCTGCTCCCAAAGTCCCTGCCTGGCTTCACCCACATGGCCCCTGTACCCAAGTTCCTGGTAGGCCTGTCACTGGTGATCGCCTTGGAGAAAGCTGGCTGCCACACTGATGTACGGACCCTGCAGCGTCAGCTGTACCGCCAGGGCAGTGTCAACACTACACAGATCCTCATCCGACATCTTCAAGGGCTTGAGAAAGGCAGAAGCACAGGGAGGGCAGTGTCAGTGGATGCCCTGGCCTCTGCTCTGCAGCTGTTGGCCAGGGAGCAGCCAGGCCAAGAGAGGGCCCGACGCTCCCTCCCCATCAAGCACTGTGAGCATGAGAAGGAGCAAGTTGTGCACAATATAGTCAGGCTGTTGCCCGGAGTGGGAACCTTCTACAACCTGGGCACAGCTTTGTATTATGCTGCTCAGAACTGCTCCGACAAGGCCAAGGAACGAGGCCAAGATGGGGTCATAGATCTGGGTTATGATCTTCTCATGACCATGGCTGGACTGTCAGGAGGGCCCACGGGACTGGCGATCAGTGCTGCCCTTAAACCTGCAGTGAAGGCCGGAGTTCAAAAGTTGATCCAGTATTACAATGAGAAAGAGGCAAACACCCCTCTGCCAGAGACCAGCACGGAGGGCCTGGGGGGCACCTCAGGCGTGAGTGACCTGGAAGAAACAACTACCATGACCCCTTTGGTGTCAGAAGTATATCCAACTCCTTACTGGGTATGGGCCGTATACAACAGCTATGACTAAGATTCAGGGAAGGGAGTCCTGGGATATAAAAGAAGGTGGTAAACACAGAATGAATAAATCTAATGTTCTGACAAGCTATATGTGTGTGTTCAAAATCCAGATCTCTGATTTGTTATCAAGGAGGAAGGCAGTGCTGGAACATGTAGGAATTTTAAAGTTTGGGGTTTGGAGTCAGAGGATTTGGTTTTGAATCCAGGCTCCACTTGTTAGAAACTCAGTGATCACTGACTAGTAACTTCTTTCTCCAAGGCTCAATTTTTAAATTTTTTTCTGTGTGTGAGGAAGATCAGCCCTGCACTAACATCTGCCAATCCTCCTCTTTTTGCTGAAGAAGATTGGCCCTAGGCTAACATCCATGCCCATCTTCCTCTACTTTATATGGGACACCGCCACAGCATGGCTTAACAAGCGGTGCGGAGGTCCGTCCCCGGGATCCGGGCCTGTGAACCCCGGGCCACCAAAGTGGAGCGTGGGAACTTAACCACTAAGCCACCGGGCCAGCCCCTTAATTTCTAAAGTGAGAATAATGATTTTCACCTTAGTGGGTTTTGTGGAAATTAAAAACGATACAATGAACCTCAAGTGCTTAGCACGGTACCATCAGTAAATAATTATTATTTTTTTGTTACTTCAGCGCTCCCCTTCCTATCCCAAAGTCTCGAAATTCCGGTCCCACCTCTTCTTTCCCTAGCGCCTCCATGGTCCGGAGCCAGTCTCGATTCTGCGGCTGCGGCGCAACTTCTCGGAAATCAGCTGTTTCAGCCCTGGGCTATTCCGTTAATTGGACTCCTCCCTCCGCAGGCATGGGGCGGGGCTTACTTGAGCCTTCCAACCAATCGCTGGAGCTGGAGGTGTGGCTTCCGCGCCGCTTGTCCCGCCCTGTGGAGGGGGTTGGGCTGTGGTGCCGCCAATGAGCTCACTGCTTGGGGAGGGTCAGCCGCGCGCTCCGGCCTGCTCCAAGGGGGCGGGTCCGAGGGGCGGGCCGAAGCCGGGGGCGGAGCAGGAGGCCCTGGCGCCGGAGCTCTTGCTGGGGACCGGAAGCCGGGACCAGAGCCTGTGGAGGCAGCGGGGTCTGAGACCCTAACAAGGTACGGCCCTGTGAGGGCACGCGGGGTTGCTGGTGGAGGCGCGAGTTGCTCCCTGGGAAGGGCAGCAAGCCCCGGAGGGTACGCCTCGGAGGGGTCAGCCTCTGTCCCCAGGTTGAAATAAGAGCTGTCGCCTGCTGCATCCTGGATCTCCCCCTCCTGTCCAGCCTAGCTCCCCAACCCTAACACCCCCCTCCCTAAACTCCCCTGCAGCCTCCGAGACCTGGAACCTGGCATTGTTACATAGGTTCAGTGTCTTGCATAGGTTCAGTGTCTTAGCCAACGGTTTTACCTTCTGGGCTGTGTTAATTTTGATCCTCACCAAAAAAACAGTGTCTGAAGGTAGATACGATTTATCATCCTTATTTGTTATGTTAAAAAGTATAAGGTACAGAATGGTGAAACGATTTGCCTAAGGTCACATACAAAATGCAGTTCATTTTAGAAAGGCTTATTGAGCACAAAATATGTGCCTAAGAGAGTGGGGGATAACTGGTCAAAACCTTAAGTGTTACAGCCCTTAACCTCAGTGTTTGCAATCCATTTGGAAGACCAGGGTTTGTTTCATATTTAAACCTCAGGATTTACTTGCTGCCTTGCTCTTTTTTTTTTTTAATTTTTATTTATTTATTTCTTTTTCCCCAAAGCCCCAGTAGATAGTTGTATGTCGTAGTTGCTCATCCTTCTAGTTGCTGTATGTGGGACGCGGCCTCAGCATGGCCGGAGAAGCAGTGCGTTGGTGGACGCCCGGGATCTGAACCCGGGCCGCCAGTAGTGGAGCGCATGCACTTAACCGCTAAGCCACAGGGCCGGCTCCCACTGCCTTGCTCTTTTTTTTTTTTTTTTAAGGATTTTTTATTTATTTATTTTTCCCCCAAAGCCCCAGTAGATAGTTGTCTGTCATAGCTGCACATCCTTCTAGTTGCTGTATGTGGGACACGGCCATGCTGAGGCCGGAGGAGCGGTGCGTCGGTGCGCACCCGGGATCCGAACCCCGGGCCGCCGGCAGCAGAGCGCGCGAACGTAACCGCTAAACCACGGGGCCGGCCCTGCCTTGCTCTTTTAATACCAGTCCATTAGTTCCTTGAGAACTGGGGCCTTGTCATTTGTTTTTTAAAAGCAATACAGGTACATAGTTGGAAAAGTCAAGTACTACTAAAAGGATTAAAATGAAAAACGGGCCAGCCCGCTGGCGCAAGCAGTTAAGTGCGCGCGCTCCACTGCAGCGGCCCGGGGTTGGCCAGTTCGGATCCCAGGCGCGCACCAACGCACTGCTTGGCAGGTCACGCTGTGGCACCATCCCATATAAAGTCGAGGAAGATGGGCACAGATGTTAACCCAGGGCCAGTCTTCCTCGGCAAAAAAAAAAAAAAGAGGAGGATTGGCAGATGTTAGCACAGGGATGATCTCCTCACACACACAAAAAAAAAGAAAAATAGGTGCCCGTGCCCAATCCTTTCCTTCCTCTCTTCCTACCTCCCAGAGGCAGAAAGGCAACTCCTGATTATTCATACTGGTGAAAATAATCTCTTCCACCCCAAGCGTTTTTCTTTGATTTGTAATAAAATCATGTGACCTCTTTTAGACCACAGATATGCATGTTTATTCTTTTCTGTTAGGCTCAGGCGGCAGCAAGAATAAGTTTTAATTTCCTCTACTGACAGATGGCTGTGGGCAGGGAAAGGTAGCGAGAGAGAGTCTCCACCCAGCCTGCTTGGTGACAAGCAAAAACCAGCTTTAGTGAAATTTTTGAGTCTCTCACGAAGTTGATAATCCACCTGAAGAATCAGAGACTGATAGAGATCATATAAAAGTGTCATAGTCTTAGGGATTGAGTGTCTCCTTGCACAGTATATAAACATCTTCTAGACTGGAGCTCCTCCTTCCTACATGGAGAGCAGTTTATAGGGTGTACCTTATCTTCAAGGAGGTTTCAGCCCCTGATAAAGCTTTGGGGCCAGCAGGGATCATACTGAAATAAATACTTATAACTCACACTGATCTTTAAATGTTCCAGCAAAAATGAATACAAATACAAACAAATAAATTTAAAATAAATTCATTCCGGGAGATAGATGAAATAAAGATGGTGGAAGTATCATTAACTTTTGTTTAAGCTAGATGATGGGTACATGGATGATCTTTGTACTACTATTCATTCTATTTTGGTATGTGTTTGAAAATTACCATTTAATCAAAAAGGCTCGCATATTGGAGCTCTTAAATAGTACTCCCTGGAAGAATATGCACCAAACTGATAATATTGGTTATTTCTGGAGAGGAGGGGATGGGACCAAGATTGGGAGTGGGGTTAATCTAGACTTTAATTTTTGTTTGTATTTTTTCTTACGTCTATAATTCAAAATTTTTTAAATTTGTAATAATAAACAATCATGAGACTGTGGATGATTTAGTCCAGCAAAATTTCCAATTGAGAACATGCATCCTTCAGACTCAGATCCCAAATGGCGCAGTGGGAGATGCTGCAGAATCTCGACAGCCCATTTCAGGATCAGCTGCACCAGCTCTACTCAAATAGCCTCCTGCCAGTGGACATTCGACAGCACTTGGCCGTCTGGATTGAAGACCAGAACTGGTGAGGGCTTCGGGAAGTTGCTGGGGATGAGGAAAGTGGTTTCTTTCTTCTGAGCCCCCAGGATCCTGGAGACACCACGGGCAGGGAGGGGTTGGAAGGCCTGAACACTGTAGCAACCCTGCAGAGATACTAATCCTTGTTATTCCTGGTCCCCAGGAAAGAAGCTGTACTGGGCAACGATGATTCCAAGGCTAACATGCTATGCTTCCACTTCTTGGACCAACTGAACTATGAATGTGGCCGCTGTAGCCAAGACCCTGAGTGCTTGTTGCTACAGCACAACTTGCGAAAATTCTATCGGGACATTCAGGTACTTGGAGGAGCTGGGAATAACAAAGTAGGAATGGGAGCTGAGTGTAGAGGAGTACAGTTTAGGGTATGGAACAGGACCTGGAGGTGCAGAGGGATGGGGGCAGATCTGGGGAAAGGAGGACAGAGTCTGGACTCTGGATGACTATCAGAAAGAAGGTCAGAGTCTAGATGACCCTGGTAGGAAGAGGCTAGTGTTTGGAGGACCACTGGTGAAAAGGGGAAAGGCTAGGGCCCCTGAAGGAGGGGAAGTACTGGGGTCACACGGTCTGGGGTGGTAGTTCATTGAAGGCAGTTGAATTCGATCAATCTCCTCTCTTTTCCTACTACAGGCCTTTCCTCAGGGCCCTACCCAATTGGCTGAGATGATCTTTAATCTCCTTCTGGAAGAAAAAAGAATTCTGATCCAGGCTCAGAGGGCTCAGTTGGTGAGAACAATTTGGCAGTGATGTTGAAAACTCCTGGAGTAGAGAGGGAACATGAAAAGGACTCAGGAAATTTGTCTCGGAACAAGATCCCCTCACATCTTGTGGTATAATTTCAGGCCTGGATTTCAGGGATGAAAGGTCAGAGTTGAAATGTACTCACAGCCTCTTATTTCAGGAGCAAGGAGAGCCAGCCCTCGAAGCACCTATGGAGAGGCAGCAGCATGAGATTGAATCCCGGATTCTGGAATTAAGGGCTATGATGGAGGTTGGTAGATGTGGCAAGAGTCAGGGTGGGCAGGGCTCAGCCCACCTCCTCCCACAGAAGCAGCCTCATCTGGGTCTAATCGCATCTACAGAAGCTGGTGAAATCTATCAGCCAACTGAAAGACCAGCAGGATGTCTTCCGCTTCCGATATGAGACCTCAGGTAGGAAGCACATTGAGGGGTGGGAGAAAGACAGGCGTCCGCTGGGAGGCACGGGTGGAAGAGAGCAGAAGGGAAAAGTCCCAGTAAGCAGTAGTCACCTTTGGCTCCTCCTCACTGGCTACACTCCTGCTGCCGTGCAAAGGCAGAAGTGCCAGGGCATGTTGTGGAGGTCGGGCTGGAGGGGTGGCTGAGGGACAGTAGTGAATGTTGGAGGAGATGCATGGCAAAGCGTCTTAGCAGACTGAGCGGGCTTCTGGTTCAAGCATGACCATTCAGACTTCACCTGAGGGCCCCGAGGTGCCCGTGCTTGCTCGGTTTCGTTCTCCCTTCCAAATCCCCCCTCCTGACTCTGACTGAGGTCTGGTCAGGAAGGAGAGGGGAAGGAGCCCTGTCTGAACACTTGTCTCACCCCTGTCTCATCCAGTGAAGTCACCGTCTTTGGACCCCCGTCAGGCCAGACAGCAGCAGCTTCTGCAGGAAACTCTCAATGAGCTGGACAAAAGGAGAAAGGTGGGAGGCAGAGGACAGAGGGAGTGGGCAGCAGGGAACTGGGGAAAAGGAGGGATCTGGGAGCCCTGGCTTCTTAGCCTTGGCTTCTTTGTTTCTTCATCCCTAGTTGGATGGTGGAGGGTGATGGTGAGAGGTGCTCACACTCACTTCGTGTCTTTCCTAGGAGGTGCTGGATGCCTCCAAAGCACTGTTGGGCCGACTAACTACCCTCATCGAGCTACTGCTGCCCGAGTTGGAGGAGTGGAAAGCCCAACAGCAGAAAGCCTGCATTGGAGGGCCCCTGGACAGAGGATTAGAACCACTGGAGAACTGGTGAGAGGCACCCTCCCCGCCCCCATGCTCGCCCAGCCCCAGTCTTAGCCACCCTGCTGTGCTTTGTAAGTTGTAATGCCCTGTATATGGCAAGAGGCATTGCTCTCCTTAGTCTCTGCTCCCCAAAATGATTCCAGCTCCCTTGTCTGACTGCAGCTACCCTCTGCTCTTCATTCTCACCATCCAGGGAACCCAGAGCCTAGTCTTTGCTTTGGTGAAAGTAATGGATTAATCCACAATCTGGTTTCTCCTTCCTTTTTAATCACCCAAGAAATATATTTTCACTTTCTTTTTAGTGCAATGAATATAATGCCCCGCCAAAAAAGAAAATTACATATTACTTTTCTACCCATATGTAGCTACAGTAATATTATTAAACAAAAATTGAATCATATTGTTCGTACTATTTTGAGACCTTTGGGTTTGTTTTTTTGTTAACTTAGCAGTATATTATAATATGTACCCATGTTACTTTTAATGGCTGCATTATAGTTCCCTATATGGAGGTAACATAATTTAATTAATGAACTATTTTGGACATTTAGGGTTTTTTTTTTTTGTGAGGAAGATCAGCCCTGAGCTAACATCCATGCCAATCCTCCTCTTTTTTTTTTTGCTGAGGAAGACTGGCCCTGAGCTAACATCTGTGCCGATCTTCCTCCACTTTATGTGGGACGCTGCCACAGCATGGCCTGACAAGTGGTGAGTCAGTGCGCGCCCAGGGTCTGAACCTGGGACGCCAGCAGCGGAGCATGAGCGCTTAACCGCTACGCCACGGGGCTGGCCCCTAGGTTGTTTTTAATTTCTTGCTATTTTTTTCCAGTAAACTCTTTATTTTATATTAATTTTATTGTGATGTAGAAAAAATAACTGTCCTTCAACATACTTGAAAAATACCTAGTTTTAAATATTTTCTCATGAGAAAGTTCATTATAATTTAAACTATTAAAAATATTCCACGACTGTTCAGGTAAATTGAAAACAGGTGTATAGGGCTTAGGGTAAAGGATCAGTATTTAAATTGCAGTTGCAAACATATCCATCATCTTGTACAGGGGTTGGCAAACTATGGCCTGTGTGTGATTTCTTGCTATTTTAAACTGTGCTGCAGTAAATAACCTCATAGCTACATCTTTATTTACATCCCTAATTATTTCTGTAATATAAATTGCCAGAAGTGGTATTTCTGGGTTAAAGTATATACCTTTTTTTGGTGGTGGTGGTGTTATTGTGTTGATCCTCTGTTTCATTGTTTTTAATAGAAAGAGCTTTATTGCTTTTTCTGATTATAAATATAATGTATACCAATTGAAAAAATTTCAGACAACTTAAAGGAGAAAAGAAAGCAAAACTCACCCATCTACATAATCTGATCATGTAGCGATACCCACTGTTAATGCTTTTTTTTCAATTAATTAATTTATTTATTTTTGCTGAGAAAGATTCACCCTGAGCTAACATCAGTTGCCAATCTTCCTCTCTTTTTTTTTTTCTCTCCAAAGCCCCAGTACATAGTTGTATATTCTAGTTGTAAGTCCGTCTAGTTCTTCTATGTGAGCCGCCACCACAGCATGGCTACTGACAGATGAGTGGTGTGGTTCTACACTTGGGAACTGAACCTAGGCTGCCTAAGCAGAGCATGCCCAACTTTAACCACTAGGCCACCAGGGCTGGCTCCCCACTGTTAATGCTTTTGAATGCATTTTCCAGATTTTCCCTCTACATATACACAAATATACATCTGTTTTAAATAGAAGTCAGATCATATCATATGTGTACTATCTTGTAATTTGTAAAAATTTAATATTTTTGGACATTTTTTCATGTTAAAAATTTGAGCCTGTATCATTATTTTTAATGGTTGCATAGTATTCCATAATGGGAATGTACCATAATTTCTATACCCAATACTAATTGTTTCTAATTTTTCTATTACAAATAACAAAGCTATGAACTTCCTCATACATATGTGTGATTATTTCCTTAAGATATATCTTAGAAATGGAATACTGCAAAATGTATGCTCGTTTTTTGAGCTTTCAAAAAAATAGTTCCAAACTGCTGTCTCCATGTGTTTGCTTATGTGCAGTGTATGATTGTTTTCCTGTCACCACATTTCCTATTTTTTTTTATTATAGAGACAGTAAAGTATAGGAGTTAAAAGTGTGGCTTGTGCAGCCAGACTGCCTGGAGTCACATACAACTTCATCCTTTGCTAGTTTTATGACCTTGAGCAAGTTGCTTAACCTTGTGGTGCCTCAGTTTTATCATCTATAAAATGGGGATAATAATAGTACCTACCTCATAGGGTTGTTGTAAGGATTAAATGCATTAATATGTGTAAAGCACTTAGAATAATAGTACATATCAAGCATCATATGAAAGTTAGCTTTATTATGTTAATAAATGTTTTACCAGTTTCATATATGAAAGTGGCTTTGATTTTCATTTCTTGGATTGTGAATCATGTTGAATAATCTTTCATATGCTTCCTGGATTCTTTTTTTGTCCCCATCAGTTCCTGACTCTCCACATAGTTAAAGGGGAGCTCTTGGAGCCTGATTCTCTCTCCCTTGGATTCCATCACCCAGGTTCACAGCTGGAGCAAAGCTGTTGTTTCACCTGCGGCAGCTGCTGAAGGAGCTGAAGGGACTGAGTCGCCTGGTTAGCTATCAGGAAGACCCTCTGCCCAAAGGGCTGGACCTGCAGAAGGCCCAGGTCACAGAGTTGCTACAGCGTCTGCTCCACAGGTCTAGAGGCCAGGGACAGACTTCTGGGGGGTGCAGAGGGAAGGAACAAGGGGAGCCCTTCTTCCAGATACTGAATTATGTGTTCTCCCCACATCTCTTTCCCCAGAGCCTTTGTGGTGGAAACCCAGCCCTGCATGCCCCAAACTCCCCATCGACCCCTCATCCTCAAGACTGGGAGCAAGTTCACTGTCCGAACAAGGTTGGCATTTCAGAACTTATTCCTGCTTCCTTTTTCCAGCCCTGATGCTGTTCGCTTTCTGACCTTACAGATCTTCCCACCCTTGGCTGTGTCTTCTCTTTCCCCTCAATCCACCTACCTCTTCTAATATCTTCCTTTATCTTTGTCAAACATCTGGTCTATCCAGGAGATTGAGGTTGACCACTTTCCCCCTTTCCCCTCCCTTCCCGCCAGGCTGCTGGTGAGACTCCAGGAAGGCAATGAGTCACTGACCGCAGAGGTCTCCATTGACAGGTAAGTTGGGGCAGCTGAAGGGTGGGACCAAGGGGTGGCCAGGACAGGGGTTGGTGGGGCAGAGGAGATACATACCTGTCACAACAGGGCCCCAGGGCTGTGTTCCTTCCCCTTCCACTCCTACCTCATGGAGATAATAACTCATCCCTTTTGTTGATCACTTACTGTGTGACATGCAGCTTGCCAAGCACTCATTTCATTGTCATAGGAACCCCATGAGTTAGGTGTTATCAACGCACCATTCAAATGAGGAAACAAGCTCAGAGCGATTATGTGTCTTGTGCAAGGCCACAGAGCTAGTGAGCTGCAGATTTGGGATTGAACCCAGGTCTATCTGATCCCAAAGACCAAACTCCTAACATGTACACTGTTTTGCTTCCCAGTGATTTTTTTTATATTTCTTTTCAGGAATCCTCCTCAAATACAAGGGTAGGTACCTGACAAGGACGCTGCAAACATTTATGTGCTGAATGACCTGCACAACCACATGTGGCAGCCCTGACAGGGGCACAAACAAGGAGGAGGTTGATTTGGGTGGCGTATGGACAAAGGGAGAAGGGGAGGTCTGAAATGAAGTGGAACTTTTTGTTGTTTTCCTGCTGAGTTTTTAGAATAACTCTGCTCCTGTCCTCCATATATCTTCTTCCTCCTGGAATAGCTTCCGGAAGTTCAACATTCTGACCTCAAAGCAGAAAACTTTGACCCCCGAGAAAGGGCAGAGTCAAGGCTTAATTTGGGACTTTGGCTACCTGGTAAGAAAAGTTAGTAGCTTAAGCTTCTAGTCCAACAGAACAGGAGCTGGGGGAAGTTCCCAGGCCTCGGGGAGTGTGGAGGGCAAGACAGGGCTTCCAGGGGCCCTGGCATCCCCACTCTAGCCTTCTCTCTTTTTCCCCTTCATCTGCAGACTCTGACGGAGCAACGTTCAAGTGGTTCGGGAAAGGGCAACAATAAGGTGAGGCGTGGACAGAGGATTGCTGGGCAGGAGGAACTTCCTACAGGGCCCTCTGATCACTGTGTCTTGGCTGTCCCAGGGGCTGCTGGGTGTGACAGAGGAACTGCACATTATCAGCTTCACAGTGAAATACACCTACCAGGGTCTGAAGCAGGAACTGAAAGTGAGTGAAAATGGAGGGCAGGGGGAGATGAAGCAGATTTTGGAGAAAGCATAAGGAGGGGTTAACCAGAAGCCTCTCAGGGTGGGAGATTACCCCTGCCCCCACCAGATGTCTGCAGCTAGGAACATCACATCCCTCCTTTGTGACTCCTGCCTTCTCCCCAGACGGACTCCCTCCCTGTGGTGATTATTTCTAACATGAACCAACTTTCAATTGCCTGGGCCTCGGTTCTCTGGTTCAATCTGCTCAGCTCAAACCCTCAGGTAGGAGGAGGGGCCAATAGGTGAGGGGTGGCGAGGGGTGTGGAAGCTTGGTGTGAGCGCGCTGCTTCTGAGCCATCCTGCCTTCCTCCCACCCCTGCAGAATCAGCAGTTCTTCTCCAGCCCCCCCAAGGCCCCCTGGAGCTTGCTGGGCCCTGCTCTCAGTTGGCAGTTCTCCTACATCGGCCGAGGCCTCGACCAGGACCAGCTGAGCATGCTGAGGAATAAGCTGTTTGGTACTAACCACCTTCTTTTCTCTCAGCCCTGCCCCAGCCTTATTCTGCCTTGGCCCTCCATCCTTCCTACCCCAGGTCCCCTGGCCTTGCCTCTTTCCATCATCTGAACTGTCTGTCTGCACACAGGGCAGAACTCTAGGATTGAGGATCCGTTGTTGTCCTGGGCTGACTTCACTAAGGTAATTCCCTGCGTCCTGTGCACCTAGATCCTCACCCCCAGTCCAAACACTAGCCCTTCCCCCATTGCTCCTTCCCCACAGTAGGGGCAACTCCATATCTCTTCCTGCCTGTCCATTCTCCTTCAGCGAGAGAGCCCCCCTGGCAAGCTACCGTTCTGGACATGGCTTGACAAAATTCTGGACCTGGTACATGATCACCTGAAGGATCTCTGGAATGATGGGTGAGGCCTTGGTCAGCCTCCCTCTTCCCCCATCCCCACCCCCCAGGCCCAGCTGCCTTTCTAGGGTTGAGAGTGGACTCTGTGCGCCCTCATGTGGCAAACCGGGAGAGCAAACACTGGTGCAAGGTCGCACCTCCTCACATTTGCAGTAATAGTCATCACCAGTATTTTTTTTTTTTTAAGATTTTATTTATTTATTTTTTTCCCCCCAAAGCCCCAGTAGATAGTTGTACGTCATAGCTGCACATCCTTCTAGCTGCTGCATGTGGGACTCGGCCTCAGCATGGCTGGAGAAGTGGTGCCTCGGTGCACACCCGGGATCCGAACCCGGGCCGCCAGCAGTGGAGCGCGCACACTCAACCGCTAAGCCACGGGGCCGGCCCAGTCATCACCAGTATTAATCAAGCATCTACCGTGTTCCAGAGCCTGCTGGGTGCTCTTTATGAATTTTCTCATGTAATCCTTACAACCATGCTGAGTGGCGGGCGTTGCCACTCTCAAGTGAGGAAACTAAGGCTCAGAGAAGTTAAAGAATGTATCCAAGGGGCAGAGTTGGGATTCGAACCCAGGCCTGTCTGACCCCAAGCCTATGCCTTTCCACCACACTGCCTGCCCACGTGCACAGTACTTTGCCTTTTACAAGGTGCTGTTCATCTCTTTGACCTCACTGAATCCTCACACCGCTTCCAACCCTGGGAGGTGGATTTTGTCAGTAAAGTGAAATGACTTGGCTGAGATGGAACAGCTTGTAATGGGCAGAGCCAGGGCCAAAACTTGGTGCATTCTCCCTATCCAAGGGAGGCAGGGGGGCAGGGAGGCAAGAGGGCCTCACAGCCGCTTTCTGTGCTCTAGCCGCATCATGGGCTTCGTGAGCCGGAGCCAGGAGCGCCGGCTGCTGAAGAAGACCATCTCTGGCACCTTTCTGCTGCGCTTCAGTGAAACGTCAGAAGGGGGCATTACCTGCTCCTGGGTGGAACACCAGGATGATGGTCAGCTGCTCTGCCCTGCTGTTCCTACAGCCTCTGCTTTCTGCCCCTCTGTCTGCCCTTGGCTTCCCTGGCTCTGTCTTGAATCCTTCAGCAGGTTTGGGGTTGGAAAGCCAAAATGGGAAGCTCCCAGGCCCAGCCTCTTCCCTCAAGCCTGCCTGTTCCTATATCCTCTTTCCAGATAAGGTCCTCATCTACTCGGTGCAGCCCTTCACCAAGGAGGTGCTGCAGTCACTCCCGCTGACCAAAATCATCCGCCACTACCAGCTGCTCACTGAGGAGAACATCCCTGAGAACCCACTGTGCTTCCTCTACCCCCGCATCCCCCGGGATGAGGCTTTTGGGCGCTACTACCAGGAGAAAGGTAAGAATCCCTGACATACGTCTCTGGTGGATTGCAGGGACTCTTGAGCATCCACAAATCCAACTCTTTCCTTGCAAACCTGGGAGACCTGATACCTGGAGAAGTTAAGGGATTTGTCCATGGGTCACTGCTAGTGAGTAGGGGATATGACTGCAGGACCGTCTGCACTAGGGGATCTTTGGGCTGTGTGTCCAATCCACTGACCTACCCTGCTCCTGTGTGTGTCCCCACAGTTAATCTCGAGGAACGGAGGAAATACCTGAAACATAGGCTCATTGTGGTCTCTAACAGGTGAGCTATGAACTCTTCGCCCAACTCCCTAACCCTTTTAGGCCGATATAGGGACCTAACCCTGCCCAATTCCAGTCTCTCCGGCCTTCTCTCCTACTGAGCCACACTCTTCCACCCTCTAGGATTTTTCCTGCTCTTCTAGTCTCTCTCTCCTCTCTTTTCCTGCTGCCATCCTTAGGTTGTCTCTACATGGGTTCCCTGATAATAATAGTCATAATCACCAGTGTTAATGGGCATCTACTTTTCTAGATTCTAGATTTTCTTAGAACATTTTTTTCATTTAATCATTATGAGTAGGGCTCAGTAGCCCATCCGAGTAGGTAATAATAACAGCCACATGTAATGAGTTCATTATGTGCCAGGGACTGAGCTAAATGCTTTGTGCTTGTTTTCTTATTTATAGGATCTTAATAATAGTCCTGAGAGGCAGACACTGTTATTACTGTTTTCAGCTAAGGAAACTGAGGTTTAGCGTGGTAAAGTGGGCATGCCTGTGGCACATGGCTAATAAATGATCCAGGTCTGTCAGATTCCAAAGCCCTGCTTTGAACCCTTCTGCTGCTTCTCAAATATTATTAGGTATTGTTGTTCCCATTTTACAGATGATAAATCTCTGAGGCTCAGAGAGGTTAGGTAACTTGCCTAAGGTCACCCAACTAGTAAATGATAGGATTCAAACTGGCAAACCTGACTCCAAAGCCCGTGCTCTTAAGCCCTCTGCTCTGTTGCCTTCTTAGACTAGAGAGATAGCCTCTGCTTGCTCTACCATTCCCCGCTTCACCTAAACAACTGAGCCCTGCCCCTTTTTCTGCATTGGGATTTCCAGACAGGTGGATGAGCTGCAACAACCGCCGGACCTTAAGCTGGAGCCAGAAGTGGAGTCATTAGAGCTGGACCCAGGGCTGGCAGGCCCCAAACTGGAGCTGGACCTGGGGTTAGAGCACCTGCTGGAGGCAGGGCTGGATCTGGAGCCCATGCTGGGGTCCCCTCTGGAGTCTGTGCTGGAGCCCACACTAGGCGCAGTATCAGGAGTGCCAGAGGCAAACCTGGGACCAGAACTGAAGCTGGAGCCTATTCTGGAAGCTGTTTCACAGCCTGAGCCCGAGCCCGTGCCCGAGCCCGATTTGCCCGATGATCTGAGACACCTGAATACTAAAGAAATGGAAAGTAAGTGATAAGATGGGGCTGGGGAAGAGGGGACACATTCCCTTCCCCACCTCCCCTACCTCACCCATTACAGAAAAGGCCAAGCCCTAAGCTCCTCACTGGAGAGAGGCTCATTTCCTGCTGGTTCCTTTTATTAGGATATGCACCTCCCCCTGCCCTGCCTAATGCCCCCTCAGGCCTGTCTGGGCCTCTGCTGCTGTCCTCCCTCGCTTTCCCTGCTGGGTTGGGAATTCCTTGCCTAAGATCAGGGCCTGACTTCTTTCTCTGGACTACCTAGTCTTCAGAAACAGTATGAAGATGGAAGAAATCATGCCAAATGGTGACCCGCTGTTGGCTGGCCAGAACACTATGGACGAGGCTTACACCTTCCACCCCAGCCATTTCTACACCGAAGATTCCTTGATTCCTTCTGACTACTAGGAACTACCTTTCCTCTGTTCTTTCCGTATATTTTGCCCCTCCTACCCCTCAAGCTGTGATGCTGCTCTCCAAGGATAGGAAGTCAGGCATGTGGCCCTTGTGAGCTGGGTTCACCCTGGGATTTGGAGTGAGAGGTAGAACCATAATGTGGGTAAGGAAGGGGCGCCAGTGAAGCAGAACAGGTGTTGGCTCTAGCCCTAATCTGTAGGCTGCCTGCTGTACTGGGTGGTGTAGAGGTTGAGGGTAGCCCGGGACAGTTAGGGGAACTTGGAGGGCTCAGGGCAGTGCCTTCTTTCCAGTATAAAAGGATTTCAACATTTTAATAGCTGGTAAGGCTAAGCTGGTGCCCACTAGCATTGGCCCTCCGTGGGGAACAGAGACATGTGCTAGGATTCCATCTCTCTCTTCTGGTTCCTTCATGTCGAGGATAACCTTTTCCTTTCTTCTTCCCCTCACTCCTGACTCAAGTCCTAAATTTCTTCTTTTCCTGCATGGACTGAGAGCTTTCTGCCTCAGCCCACCATGTGAAGCTCCCCTCTACAGAAGGGAATAGGAGGTAGACCCCTTCTTCTTACCAGTCTCCTCCCCTGCTCCCAAGCTGGCCACACCCATTCCTCCCCCTAAAGGGAGCCTGCCACTTGAATGTGCCTGTGAAGCTTTGCACAATAACTTATTCTGCCTAGTCTCCACTTCCCCAGTGCTTAGGGGACAAATCACTCCTGGGGCCAGGGATGGTACGGTTGCTGGGAATTTAGGAATTGCTTTTTATAGTATTAGATAGAATTCGGTATTTTTACAGAGGAAGAGAAGCCCTGGGGCTTAGATATTTGTCTATGAAGATATCTCTTTTCTTTTGTACCATATATTGTTTGCCTGAAAGGAGGGTTTCTATTCCTTGGGCGTGGACCTGGGGAAAGACCAAGTTCCTGGAACTTAGAACCCCAAAGGTTTATTATGGGGCTCTGCACAACTTCACACATTAGCCATTCCCAGGGAACCCCAGGATAACTGCCCTTGCTCTAAGATGTGCTTCTAGTATAACTTGAGTTGTAAATTAAAGTGAGGCCCTGTACGTGTGGCTGTTTCCCGCCTTGTACGTTAGAGGAATAGTCCTGTTCAGAAACAGGCCTTTCTGAGCAGAAGTGGCTAATAAACTTTGTGCTGACCTGGAAGTGCTTCCTCTCTGAACTTCTTTACTTCTCTGCTCACAAAGACTAATGTCCTTGGACCCCCAGCAGGCCATGTAGGATCGAGGTCAGCAAATTGTGGCCTCTTCCACCCGCCCCAGGAGGCCCCTCTTGTCGTATTTCTTCTTACCTCCCTGTTGAGAGCAGCCTTTCTTGTTGCTTAGATTTTCCAGGGGGAGCTGTGAGCTATATAAGAGTTGGGGGCGGGGTGTGGGGTGGGGGTGGGAGTACGTAGTTATATAACTAGCCTGTTGTCACTCAGCTGGTTGGTGGCAAAGCCAAGATATAAACCTGGGTCCGTCTGACTTCCAAGCCCATGCCTTTTTGATGTTGTGACTATGGAGAAAAGGAAGAGAAATAATCACTAGCCCCTTCCCCTTCTTTCTTTCAAAGGCAGTTTAGCTCCCCTTGGGTAATCAAACTCCCTTCTGAAGGGCCCCAGAGATGTCCGTTAAGGGAGAATCCCATTAGTTTCGGGGATTTACCTTCATCTTTCTAGAATGCCCTTCCTGCCCAAAACAGCTCTGACTTTTTGATCCTGCATGATGACTTTTGATCAGGACTCCTGTCTCTGGCCAAATACATTCTTGGCCAAGAAAGGAAGGAAGGAGGCACTGGGTCAGGGAGCAAGAGAGGGTGAGGCCCCCCAAAGTGAGGCTCCACTTCCTAATCTCACGCCCTTGTAATCCCATTCAGCTTGTTTAGCCATACAGGATTCAGACCGAAAAGATTCCAATTACTCTATACACAGGGGGCCATGAGGAAATGTCCCTCTCCACTGCAGCCCTGCAGAGCAGAAGAAGGATGCATATTGTAGTCCCTTGGCCCTATTTTTCTATTCTGTTTCTTTGTCTCAACCAAGCCTAGAAATTAGACTCAGATATCCACATAAATAAGTCTTTATTGAAAAAAGTGCATATTTCAGTATAAATATAATAAATAATCCTCCTCCCCAAACTGCTGCCATGAAGATAAATAATCCCAAATTTTCCCTTCCCATCTAATAAATACTCAACCTTGTCCTAGGTCAGCATCATAAATCAGTCAGTATTGGTAATTTTTCAGCATATGCAAGTTCCATTAGAATTAATGGACAAATTAACTTGTTGGCTTGTAGATGCCTGGGCTGATAGATTCATCTTAGCATTGCTGAGCCATAGATCTGGATGCCATCCTTGAAGCTGTTGGCTTTAAGGGCTCAGGGTTGCTGCTCCATGGGCAAAGACCCGGGCAGCCACGGCCACAAAGGCCTGGAGGCTGCGAAGGATCTTGGGGCGGAGAAGGAGGCGCTGCCACGGCTGGCTGGGACTGGGGCTTGGAGTCTGCTCAGTCTCCCAGTGGTGACCCTCAGGCTGAAAGGACACAGGACACAATCAGAGAGGACTCCAGATTCCTCACCCGCTAGTCCCTGTCTGTGATACCTACAAGCCCCCATCCTCTAGGCCCCTAGTTCATACCTGCAAGAGTTGCCTGAGGCCCAGGAGGGAGGCGTGGAGCTGGCCCACAGGGCCATCGGGAAGTAGAGAGGGCTCCCCTGTGAAAATGTCTGAGCCCAGCAGCTTCTCATAAAAAACCAGGCCCTGGTGGATCCTTTGCAAGCAGGGCTGGGGAGAAAAGAAAGCCATGAAAGAAAACAGATACCCTCTTCCTACTCCATTCACCAAAGACCCACCCAGTTCTTTGCCATTCTTAGACACTGCCATGGTCTGAATGTTTGTGTCCCCACAAAATTCCTATGTTGAAATCCTAACCCCCAGTGTGATGGTATTAGGAGGTGGGGTCTTTGGGGTGATTAGGTCATGAGGGTGGGGCCCTCATGAATGGGATTAGTGCTCTTATAAAAGAGACCCACAGAGCTCCCTAGCCCCTTCTGCCATGTGAGGATATAATGAGAAGTCTGCAACCAGGAAGAGGGCCCTCGCCCAACACACTGGCACCCTGATCTCAGACTTCCAGCTTCCAGAACTGTGAGAAATAAATTTCTGTTGTTTATAAGCCACCCAGTCTATTGCAGGCTGAATGGACAAAGACAGATACAACTTTTACTAATTTACCATGGTGCCTAGCTATGTCTCCAGCCCCCACTTCCTTGTGGCCCAGCCTCATCTTAGTACCTGACTGTTGTCCCTGAGTCCTTGGGGATCACAGCCATCCTCACACTGGATATGGGGGACATCATTTGTAGTCTCGTCATCTCCCTCTTCTCTTGGTAGATCCTGGAATGGAGGAGGGGGTAGCAAGAGTGAAGAAATAAATACTTTTGAACCCCACCTGGACCCTCAGGCCCATGGCTCTCCCAGCAACCCCATTCTCCTGTCCTCTCTCACCCCCTGATGACCTTCAACCCTCCAGCTTCTACCAAGGCCAGAGTCTTCCACTGCAGCCTTGGAAGGCTTGGAGAGGCTCCTCTTGGGTCCCAGAGGCTGCCACTCACCACATGTCCCATTGGTGGATGTGCACTCCATGCCAGCGTGCAGAGCTTCTGGGAGAGCTGCTGGCACCGAGCCCAGGCAGGCCTGCTGCCCTCAGGCACAGCCCGGCCCTGAGTGGTCCAGGGCAGCAGCACCAGCAGCAGCAGCAGCAGCACAGCTCGGCTCCCCAGCATCTTGCTGCCTGCTTCTCAAATCTGGCCGGCTCTGTGCCTTGCACCGGTCAGTCCCTGTGGAATCTCTGCCCACTTCCCCTCGCTCTGGGCCTGATTCTCTCTGTTCTGTGCGTTCTGGTTTGCTTCCCTCCGTTCTTCACCTCCAGTTTCTGAGCTGCTTCCTGTTGTTTTTCTCCCTTGTCTCTGAGTCTCTTTTTAAGGTCTCTGCATTGCAAGACCCGCCCTTTAGACAAGCAGGTGACTCACAGCAGGTGGGATTTCCCTCCCTGCATCATCCCCCTCCGTGGGGAGCCCAGGTATGCAGCCTCAGTTCCAGGGGAAATGAGTCGTGTGGTTGCTGTGGCTGGAGGCCTGGGATGGGACATTATGTGTAATGCTCTCCAGGAATAGCTGTAGAAGGGGATGGGGGTGGGAATAATGAATATTTAAATGAATCTAGTCTCAAGTTCCTTCCTATTTAACCTTTCCCTCATCTTTTTGCCTCTCAAAGCTATACCCCACCTCCCCACCCCTACACACACACCTAATTTCCTCACTTCTTCCTGACTGAGGAAACACCAAAACAGAAGCATCCATTTATCTCCCAATAGGATGGCAAGCTCAGTTTGGAATGAAGTTTGGTTCTCACCTGATGCCTTCTATCTAAGAATAAGGGGGCTTCTTTTTCTCCATTGGGAACAGTGTCATTTTCACTGGGAGAGAATGGTCTCGAAGTCACTTTGTGAGCTGGGAAGCTATACAAGTGCCGTGTAAGGTATTATTGCTCCCCCACTTCAGGCCTCACTGTGGACCCTAGGAAGGCTGTTGGACGGAGAGTGTTGTTGCTAAGAACCATCTGATTCCTCAACTTTAGTGGCCCAGAGTTTATAGGCTCTGTGGAATTCAGGTGATGATTCTTTTGAGACACCAGTGTAAGCAAAGGCTAGGGGTCCAATTTACATATTCCAGCACCCAGCCCCTACCCCATGGCTAGGAAGTCCAGGAGTTCTGGGTAGTTGAAGATGCAGTGTCAGTGACTCCGGCTGGTCCTTCAGCCTCTTGCATCCATGGGTAAAATCCGCTGACACTGATTTCATCACCCTCCCTGATGCAACATCCAGTGAAACAGCTGAGAATGTGAGGTTGGGTGTGGGAGTGGAGGGTGGTCCAAGTCTGGGACTGCCCCAACCCCAGTGGAGGGTCCCAGAACAATTTGGACGTCAGAATGAGGCCATGGGTGACCACACAGATGGCTCCCAAAGCCTCCCCAAGAGGTTGACCCTTTTCTACTGAGAAACTGACCCTTGATGGAGGTCTCCCTTCCCTTAGAACTATTCAAAACTGCCCAATGAAACTTCTGATTCAAATATTATGACTCTGTGGTAAATCCACCCTTTGGATAAAACATTTCCAGTATCAGAGAGGTTATCTCAGTTTGAGTGCGAAATGGTTTGCCTCTCCCTACATAATGGTGGACACAAATGGAATAAGGAAAGTGAGGGGGGGAGGACGGGTAGGGGAGCTCACCTCACTTGCGTATAATGTCTCCTGTGCTCTTCCCACCTCTGGTCTCCATCTGGGAGCCCTAAAGGATAGGAGATGACAGGTGAAGAGGAGGAGGAGGAAGCGGAGCCCTGGGGGATGGGATGAGAGGGACAGGGTGAGCTAGAGACACGAGGCTCTGCCGCTTTGTTTCACTTCCTGGTGCTTCGGGAGTTGGGTCGGAAGCAAGGTTGGTGGGACGATTGTGGGACTTGTGTGACAGGAACTACTTCCAGGAGTAGATCTGACCTGGAGCTGCAAGGAAACTTTGACGTCAGCAGGGCCTCAACCGTTATGCAAATCACATTCACAAGACACTCCCAAGCAGGCCTTTCCAGTTGGATGCCCAGATTCCAAATCCAGTTGAAGTTCCCCCAGGTGGTTAATAATGATGGCTAACATATATCCAACTCTCACTTTATGCCAAGTACTTGGTCTAAGCACTTTTCATGTATTAACCCATTTAATTCTCACAACAACCCAATGAGGTAGGTACTTATAACCCCCTATTACAGATAAGGATACTGAAGTGCAGACATAAGTAACTTGCCAAAGATCACAGAGCTACTAAAGGGCCAGAATTCCAGTGCAGACAATCTGGCTTCAGATCCTGCATTCTCAATCCTGCCATTATATTGGACAATGTGAGAAGACACACAGCATCTTTATAAAGTAGCTCATTTAGCCCAGGTATCTCTAGGTATCTCAGGCCCTGTAATTCTCATGGCTCTGTGAAGTATCTCTCAATCTGAGACCTCAATAAGGAAACTTCTCAAAGTGTAGGAACTGTCTAGGTGTCTCAGCACCCATCTTTTTGCAAGACTTGAAATCCAGGGACCTGTAAAGTCAGATTAGTTTGAGAGACCCTCTGAGTTAAGGTGTTTTTCTCTTGGTCTGTGACCTCTGACTGAGTCTAGGACCCCTCTGAGTCCTGAAGTCTAAATCCTGGGGTCCTTTTATGAAGGGCTATTTACCTATTTATAACTGTGAACTAAATTCCTCTGTGAGGAATTCCTCCAACCAAAGAGGCCCTCTGTGTGGCCTTTAGAAACTGAGCTAGGGCCGGCCCCGTGGCTTAGCGGTTAAGTGCGTGTGCTCCGATGCTGGCAGCCCGGGTTCGGATCCCGGGCGTGCACCGACGCACCGCTTCTCCGGCCATGCTGAGGCTGCGTCCCACATACAGCAACTAGAAGGATGTGCAACTATGACATACAACTATCTACTGGGGCTTTGGGGGAAAAAAAAAAAAGAAACTGAGCTAAAGTGACCCAAGGCATCTCAAAACCTGGCCCCATTCCAAAGCAGTTCAAGCTCAGAATCATTCCCCAAGAATCCCTCAGAATAACTGCTGACGCTAAATCTGTACGAGTTTGGGGAAAGCAAATGTGTTAATTTGCCGTGCTCATGCCCCCCTGAGGGGTGATGTCCAGTTCCAAGAGCTAGGGGAATTTGATGGCCGAGGGGTCCTGTTCCCTGGGAATATTACTGGGGCCTCTGGGGAGGGAATCATCACAGATGGGAGTTTCAGATGGATGCCTTTAGAATCCTAGATACTGGGGCGAGTTAGGAGACTACCTCCCGCTTCCTTTTTTCTCTCCCGTATCTGGAAATGATAGGAAATGCCAGCGAGTTTCGGGGGCAACAGGGGCGGAGGTGGCGGAGTAGCTCACAAGAGCAACGCGGAAAGAGGGGGTGGACTGGGCCACGCTGGGAATGCCCAGCAGTCGACTCCCAGTGCTTTGGCTTGGGCGCCCCTTATTCTAGAGCTTCTAAAGTTACAGGGAGCAGAATATTCTGTTTCCAAGTCTGGGGCTCTCTAATTTTGTTCCAACAAGGCTTAAAAGAGAAGCGGTTACTTTTCATGACTCCAAAGGGCCAGGGTCTGACTCCATTTGTCCCCATCGACGTCCCGTAACCCTTGCTTTTGCCCAGCTCTGCGTCATACGTCGTCTCGCGGAGCCGTCTGTACCTGGCTCCTTCTGATTGGCTTAGCTGAGCCCCAAACCCTTCCTGATTGGAAGCTGCGATTGGGAGCCCGCCGTCCTGTCTGCTGTAGGGTTAGGTTGAGCCTGAGGCGCGGGGGAGAATTGGGGAAACTGGAATTTCCCGCGGAGCTGACGGCGTTTGCTCTCCCCCTACTCGTTTTAATTCCACGCGCTGCAAAATATCCGCCATGGAGAAATCTTGGTAATGACCCAATCCCCGTAAGCATCCCAGGAACACATCTGACCCCTGCCCTAATCCCTCCCATCCCGGCCGCAGGGGGAGAATTCTGGGTAATTGATTTCTCTGGTTCCCCCAGAGAATCCTGGGTAACTAGCCATTTCCATCACGTCCCCCTCCCCCGCCGCAATTGTGGGTAACTGGCCATTCTTATTTTCCCCTAGAGAATCCTGGGTAGCGTTGCAGAGGATTCTGGGAAACTGACTTCTCTTGTTCTCACCTCCCAACCCCCCAACCCCACTCCTAATTCTGGGAAAGAAGCACCTTAGCCACCTCTACCTAACTCAGACCCACGCAGTTGCCGCTCTTTCCACTGATGGTTCTGGGGTGAACCAAGCAAGTGAGCAGGCCTGAAGGGAGGTGAAAGAGAAGTCAAGGATTAGATTAGATAGTAGGGTGGTGTGCAGAAGAGAGTGCCTAGAGAAGAAAAGGAAGGGACAACACTTCTCTACCCCACTGCCCATCCCCTTCCTGCCTGCTTCATTCCCTGCTTGGCATTCTCACAACCTCTGCCTGCCTCATCTCTCTCCTGCCCATATAACCTAGAACACACTAAACATGAGTACCTGGGCCTACCCCTGACTCAGCTCCCTCTTTCCCTTTGCAGGCCAGGATGTCTGTTCTAGGCCCACTGGTGCCATCCTGCTGAAGTTTGGGTCAGGCATCAAAAGGGGCGGTGGCAAGGGAGGGTGTGACACGAGTCTAATCTGCTGCCATCGTCATCATGAACTTTGAGGGTCTGGACCCTGGACTAGCAGAGTATGCCCCGGCCATGCATTCTGCCCTGGACCCTGTTCTGGATGCACACCTGAACCCAAGTCTACTACAGAATGTGGAGCTGGACCCTGAGGGAGTGGCCTTGGAGGCGCTTCCTGTCCAGGAGTCAGTGCATATAATGGAAGGTGTCTACTCTGAATTGCACAGTGTGGTTGCTGAAGTGGGTGTGCCTGTCTCCGTCTCCCACTTTGACTTGCATGAAGAGATGCTGTGGGTGGGAAGCCACGGGGTAAGAACTGTACCCCTTTGTAAGGGCTGAAAGGAGATGTTGGAGGTCTTTCATCTGGTTTTAGCCCAAGGACAGCTGTTTTGCAGGAAGCCAGAACTGATTTGAGGTGATGAGAGTTAGTTGGGTCTCTTGGTCAAACCAAGAAGAGGGGAGTGGAGGGAGAAAGTGGGAGTCATAGGATCCAGGGATGAGTTCAATAGGTGTTCTTTTTCAGAAGGCATCCCGCTTCTACTACAATTTACCCATTGCATGCTTTGATTAATCTTAGTAACTGTTCACATTAGTTAGTCTGTAACCATTCAAATCCAATCTCTAATGCCCCTCTTCTGTTTTCCATTTTTATAGTTATGGAATATTAACACATGTTTCTGCATATCTTACCATGGAATCATTTTGTCTTCTCTGGCTGATTTTAACCTCTCTGAGAGCAGTTATCAATGTTAATTTTTTAAAATGTGTATCCATGTTGCCAGTATGCTAGGGTGCCCAAAGATTTTGTAAGAACATGCTATCCTTGGATTACTA